GACATTGGTGCATTTGTTTATGAGGTCGAGTATAAGTAAATAAGCACAGTGTCAGGTCGATACCTGATACCAGTATCAGTATCGATGCATCCCTAGTTGTAGGTATTTCAATGCAGTCTATGAGATGTGTCCAGTTTTTCACACAGGTCTGAAACAAAACTGAGGAGAGCACTGGTGGGGGAGGGGGTGGGGAGGTTATTTGAATATTTAAATATCCAAACTCATTAGACAATATATGTTAAAAAATGTTAAATCTTCTCTGTGACAATGAATGACAGTGGCACAGTGTGCCCTTGTGCATTCACAACAATGTAAAATATTTTCTCTTTAGAAAACTAAAAATGGGAAACATTGATATCTGTGGTGACTGACATAGTCAATGCAGAAATGTTTATCATCTAGAAGTCGTGCAAACATTAAGAAAAAATGTTAAAAAAATGTTATTAATGTGGTATAACTTAGTATTTTCTATTTCTTTGGCCATTTTTTGCATACTAATATTACTGTTTCGAGGGCATCAAACATTTAATGCATAATCTGTCAAAATATGTCAAAATGTAGTATTCACTATAGCCAGGCTTCCGTTCTGCCAACAAATTAAATTTAAGCAAATACCCAAAATTTCACAAAAATCAGCTCTGTACAAGAGAATAAAACTTTATGTAACATCCATAAAAACACTTCTGAGAAACATGGAGCGAGACTGCGGAGAGATCTTTGATGTCAAGCAACTTTGTTTCTCAGTTACTTTGTTAAATGGGCTATAAATATGAATAGCCAATTATTTGTTTTCTTTGCCATCCAAGGTACTCTCCAAAGTCTTTGCCAACAACAGTTCACAGTTCACAGTCATCAGTTTTTTCTGTCCAACTTTTTTTCTTGTCTATAAAGAACCACAGAAAGGACCACAGCCTGAACAACTCTTCTCTTAGTTTGTAGAGAAACATCATTTCATTTGAAGATCCTTTTAAGCTTGTTTTGTTTAACTTTCTGGCCACATTTTACTGGCAAGCACAGTGGCTCAGAAACCTTATATTAAGCTGAATGGCTGTTCACCATCTAGCATCACCGTTATTTATTCACTGCCTGATTGCTTGATTGATTGAGTGATTGTTTTGCCAAGATTACAGGAAAACAAGACAGTTGTCTTGGTTTAAGTAATATAATGTGATGGTCTGTACTTACGATCAGCTAACAAGGTAAAAATGCCGGTTTTAATTTAATCCTGATTTGAAAATTAAACTGTGTACGAGTAATGCGTTAATGTGTAAACTTGAATTTAGTTTTGTAAAATCAGTTATCAAGTTATCACCACTCTGTAATCTAAATAAGGGACGCAGTAGTATGTGAATTATGGGCAGATCTGATATTTTTCATGTACATATCTGCTGATGCTGATACCGATGCTAACACCTAAACATTAATAAAAATATAAAACCTTCCCCTCGATTAGCATTACAGAGAAAAGTACCAGAAAGGGTTATAAATGCAGTAAAATAAATAAAATAATGACATTTTAGGGCAGTAGTCCAGCTTTACATAAATGTCATGCTTTTTCAGAGTACAATAAATACATCATCAAATATCAGTTTGAAATATTGGCTAAATGTAAATGTGTATCTGATTCTGATATACACATTTTTAAAGCAAATGCCAGTATGATTCCAATATCATTGTGCACCCCAAAAAATAACAGCTTAAACGTCATTTAAACAAATGTAAAAACAAGGAAGAGTACGTTAGTGAACAAAGAACTAACCCAGTAGCAAGTAAGTCCACGTGTGGTCCTGTGTTGAACTTGCTGCTTGGATGTGTGCGGGACAAGTTTTATGCCATGCCACATATTTCTTTTTAATCGATTGAGCATGGGTGCATCATTATAGAGAGTACAGTATTGAATATCTGTCAGACGGCCTGGATCCCTCTGGGGGAATGGCATAGCCCAAATTTGAAAGCTTTTCTTGCTGAATGGGCAGAGTCAGATTGGCTGAGGGGGCAGTGGGGGAGGGGAAGAGAGAGTGCTTAATAGATAGCAGGAGCACACAGAGTTAATGGCATGGCAGAGTGAATGGATTAAGCTGTAGACGGCGGTGCGTTCGGCTTGTTGAACAGTACACCACCTTGGGGACTGCTGAGCTCAAGCAGCAGCTCCTCAGGCCTCCTGCGACCTCCTCTCTGGTTTCTCCCTGTTCAGTGACGCATGGATCTAGATTGAAATTTCAAAAAGCATTCACTGTGTAATTATATAGACCGATTATCAACCTGGTGATGTATTTGCTACGAGGATAAAAGCAATAATGCATGACCTGATTATTGTGTTAGAGAAAGGGAGAAGTGGAGGAAGTGTTAAAGTGTACAACTTTTTAGGCTGTTCAGCTTTAAGGCACTTCACAGTAAGGGTGAGCAATATGGCAAAAATGTAACATCATGATACTTTTTCACAATACGTGATAGGTTCCATGGCATTTTAGGTTTTCTTAGGTTTGAAGACAGATTGGAAAACACAGAAGAGAAACTTTTAACAATGTTTTATAATGTAAAAATAAGCTGGCTTTACTAAAGGCATACATTTCTGAGAATTAACAAAATATGTAAGTGGGGCAATTTAGAGCAAAATAGATTCTGGAAAAGTTTGAGCAACAGAATAAAACCCTTCACTAGGCCCGTCACAGTTATTTTGTAATAACCTAATTGCAATTATTTGAGATGACGGCAGTTATTGTTTTCAGCTTGAAGCTCTGACATGTTTAGAAGGCAGTGCTGACTAATAGTTATTTGTTAGCTATGTTTTTAGCATGCATGCTAGCAAAATGACAGTTTTTTTGCTTTTATTTTCACTCTCAAGAAGAATTATATAGACTTTGCCTGAATACTTAAGATTCTGTGTGACTGAGACATTTGTGTGAATGCCAATTTGACAGTGCCAGTATTAGCTACACAGTAAACGTAGCTAGAAAGCACAATGGCTAATAAGGCAAGTTGGCCACTTTGGGCTTGCACTTTAATAGATGCATAGAATGATCAAGAAAACACCATTCAATTGGCATTCGCAATTATTTACATGACAGTTAATTGTTAGCTAAAATTGCATGACCCTTCACAAGGGCTGATGCTAAAGCTAACAATAAGCTAACTCTAACACTAGAGTTAGTCTGTGCATTGTTAGATCCTGAGCAGGAAAATTCTTCTCGCCTTTAATGATACAATACATTCATGTTTATCTGTACGTGGAATGTTGTATTTGTAATTGTGAGCACTGTACAGTCCTGTTTAATCTGTCAAGCTAACTGTCTACAGCTAAGTTAATAAAAGCTAACTTAGCTAGTTAACATCATGCCCCCTCAGCATTGGCCAGCACCCCAATTTCAGCCACTTCTGCTTATTGCATATTGCTGTGAGGACATTCAAAAAACTTAATACCACATTTGTACTTTATTTGTGCAAAAAATCGAATCTAAAAAAAACAATAAAGTATCACTAACAGTTTTGTAATTCTGCGTTTACAAAACTGCAGGAACACACAACACTGTTTCTGTTTCATGACGAATGTTTGTCTTGGTGTAAAAGTCCTATCAGTTAGCTTTCTTTCTGCTTTTCTGTTGCTTGATGGTTATGCGGAAGCCCATCCAGACCACTTTGCTCATTCCAGGGAGTTTTGGTCTTAAGAGGTCTTTTAAAATCCAGATTAAAAGCATGTTGTTTAGACTAGCACAGGGCTCCAGACTAATGATGAAAATAGCGCATGGGGCAATTTTTTAATTCTAAAGAAAAACAAAATGTAAACAAATCTGTTTAGTAATTTAAACAGTCAGACTATTATAATCTAAGCTAATATCTTGACTATTGCAGCTCATTTTTCCCTGTGGTCTGTAATTGTGCTGCTATTTTGTAATTTAAAAACACCTCTGTCCATCTTTTCAATGGTTTACTTGTATCCCTTTATGAAGTACTTTCAGATTTTGAAAATGAAAAGTGCTGTATAAATAAAGATGTATTACTTGTTATTATTATCATCAAATGATCAAATGATCAACAATCAAATGGTAATTTTTTTTTTATAATACATGCAGTTGTTCAGTGTTCTAGAAGTACTGACAATACCCTTGATATACTCAGAGCAGATTGTGATGTAACTGACCATGGTAAAGACAGAATATTGTCATATTGTCGTCCCCTACTTTGCTGTGTAAATAACTTTGTATGTCTTTAATTTCGAACAAGACTGTTTTTTCATACACATCCCATACATTGAAAAACAAGTTAAATGAATGAATGAAATGTTACATCAACATAATTACTATGTGTAAGTACTTAATAAACGTTTTTAATTTAAGTTGATTTAGCAGATTTCATTTGTGTGTAACTGCTGTACATATTTGACTCAACATTTTTTCAGCATGAATGTGGAGGGTACATAGAAGAGCATTTCAGAAATGTACCACTAGAGGTCAGTGTTGTCCAATGCATTTCATGCAGAAGACTAATGGTCTAAAATAATTATATTTCAAATTAAATTTTGAACCAGGTCCAAATATCAGGATAAAGGATACTGAGACAAACAAACTCTCAACATGTCATGCAAGACCATCACAATTTATGACACAGATTGCAGTCCTACAAAGAGAGCCGCGCAGCCTGAAAAATGCAAAACCAAAGCTCTTCATTAGAGCGGCCGCATTAATGTTTCATTTGACAGACGGAAGACAGAAAGTTGTCATCTGCTCTTAACAACTGCTGAAATCCTCAGTCAAGTGCTGCAGCTCCGGTCGACACCCGTCAGTGTCAGAGGGCGATCAGCCAGGCGAGACCGCCCGTGTCAGGTTGACTGATATGTTTCAGAACAGCTCGAGCAGCGCATCAAACACCAGTCTGGCCATTGCACTTGCCCCCTCCATCCCAAAGTTTCACTTGCCTCTGTAAACGCAACCAATGTGTTATCTCTCTCTCTGTCTCTCTCTCTCTCTTCCTCGCTGATGCTCTTTTTCTCTCACTCTCAACAGACACCTCGTCCATCCATCTGTCCGTCCTTATAAATGCACTGTGGCTACGCTGTCTGGGAGAAGAAGCCCCGACCCCCCTTCCCTCCTTCCTCTTCCTCCCCCCTTCCCTTCCCTCCTCCAGCAGAGAGTGAGAGAGAGAGCCGGACGAAGACGGACAGTGAGGGCCTGATGATCCTGCGGCCCACTGGTCAAAATTCCACACACACAGGGCAGACAAAGTAGACCTGTGCAGAGCTGTGCTGGCCAGTCCCAGAGGCCTGGCAGAGGAGAGCTGTGACCCGCCCGCCCCTGAGATGCCCTCGCTCCCCAATGATGGAGGTGAGTGTGGACAGTGTGGGGAAAAATCTAACAAAATGATACTTTTTTTAGTATTTTTGTCGTGTTTTGCACTATAAAACAGAAATACATGAGCACAGGTGGATACCAACAATAACAAAGAACAGACATTTAAAAAATGGTAAAGCAAAAGTAATAAATAATTAAAAATGAAAGTAAACAAAATAAAAAGAGAGAAAAAGAGGCAGGGAGAGTCTACAATCGCATGCATAGAAAGGCTTAAGCGCTTAAGCAAATTGAAACACCTTTTCAAGCCTTTTAAGCCTGTTTTAGAGGAGGTCCCTCAGTTGAACTATGCATTTTTACTGGTGGAATGGCCACTAGGGAGCCTGCAAAAAGAGGCTACACACGTTTATCTGAACAATAACTGTGGTTTTACTTGTGAAAACTCTTTGTAATATTTACGTTATTCACACTATAACATAAATGTAAAGAAAGTAACTCTTGTAGTGAAAAAGTAGTTGATGTTTGAGCTAATTAGAAAAACACACGTTTGGTTCCAGATTTTTCCTTGATACACCCAGGCACTGTATAAATTTGTTAAATTCTATCAACAGAACACGTGATTTACAGAACACATCATTTAATTTCATGAAGATTAGGTAGTTACTACAATACTGGGCTGCCAGTAGGGAGAGATTTGAAAAGAGTTAAATGAATATATTAACATACATAAAATCAAAGTTACATATTGGTATATATGAATGCTGTTTATTTTTTACTAATTATTATTATTTTCATTTATTATATTATTGTTATTATTATTATTGTTGTTGTTGTTGTTGTTATTTTAAATGTTTGTTGGAGCAGAAATGCTTACTGTTCACATAAATAGCTTTTTAAACATCATTTTCTCAGGTGCCTATAACTTTTGCTCAGTGTTGTATAACATTGTATTCAGTTCTGCTAAAGTTTGCAGATTGGAACAGACAAATTACATGAGCAAAACACATTTAAAAAAGGTTATAAAAACCTATGACTGTAATTTATGATTGATTTCTTTTTTAATTTAATATGTTTGCAAAATAAACAATTTAAAAGAAATAGAGTAAAAAGTAAACAGAGTAACTGAGTAAAATAGTTATGACATAATGAACTGACATCCAGTCAGCTACTTGTTACTATAATGTTTAATATGCAGTTAATATTTACTGGTTGTCTTTTTATAATTGGTGTAAATCTGTCTTTTTTATATACATGCAGTTGATCTGTGCTCTAGAATCATGTAGTTATTATATATGGTGCTCCAGAATTACATACTGATCATATACAGTGCTACTGAATTACATACCTATTATGTACAGTGTTCCAGAATTACATACTGATTATATACAGTGTTCCAGAATTATATACTGATTATATAGTGTTCCAGAATTATATATTGATTATATGCAGTGCTCCAGAATTACATACTGATTATATACAGTGCTACTGAATTACATAGTGATTATATACAGTGTTCCAGAATTACATACTGATTATATACAGTGTTCCAGAAGTATATACTGATTATATACGGTGCTACTGAATTACATAGTGATTATATACAGTGTTCCAGAATTATATACTGATTATATACAGTGTTCCAGAATTATATATTGATTATGTACAGCGCTCCAGAATTATATACCAATTATTTACAGTGCTCCAGAATTATATACTGATTTTATACAGTGTTCCAGAATTATATACTGATTATATACAGTGTTCCAGAATTATATATTGATTATGTACAGCGCTCCAGAATTATATACCAATTATTTACAGTGCTCCAGAATTATATACTGATTTTATACAGTGCTCCAGAATTATATACTGATTTTATAAAGTGCTCCAGAACTATATACTAATTATATACCGTGTTTCAGAATTATACACTGTATTATATACTGTACTCAGAAAAGTGTACTGTGATGTAATTTATCACAATAACGACATATTGTCATATTGCCAAGAGTGACGCTCTCCTCCAGGTCTGACATGGATCATTAGTTCACAGCAGCCAAAGAGAGAAGAGGGGAGGCTAAACCAGTGCAAAGCCCTGACAATTCATACGCAGGCTGAATGATAAGAGAAGGTCATCTTCAGCAGAAAGGAGCCTTCTGTTTTTCTCTCTTCTGTCATTTGCATTCACATTGGTTCCAGATGTGATGCCAGCAGCAGGCTGTGAATTGTGAACTCACCTCTTTGCCCCTATTCTGTTACTAATATCATGACTGGATTTTCCACAGAAGATCAAAGGACGTCCCCCGTGAATGTGCCGTCTGCGCTGTCCAATCAGAACGGCGTGAAGAGGAAGGTGCGCACCAAGAAGAAGAAAGGCGTCATCACCGCCAATGTGGCAGGAACCAAATATGAGATTGGTACGAAAGCCAAGCCAACCTTTCAGCCTTTCTGCAGTTTATTTTTAGTAAAAACACTTACACTGATTTTCCACTGATTGTCCTCATCATGTGTTTTAAAACAAATTTGCTTCAAATGTAGTCCATCAGCCAAGTCATGTTTGGTGTGAGAAGTTTCTTTAGTTTTGCACTGGAGCCAACAATGTGGCTACAAGTAATGGAAGTTTATACCCCACCACCTAATGTTGTGCAAACTGAAGGTCTAAATCACACTTTTGCCAAAAATCACATTGAACTGTTGAGTAATCTCAAACAGACTTGTTTATGTGGTTTCTGTATGACACACAGTCTCACTGTTGGTTTTTTAAAGTAAGTTTTTAAAGTAAGTCAACACGTCCTCTACGGAGAACAGAATTAAATATTGCATATTTCTGCATTTTTAGGTCCCATTTGTTTACTGAGTTTATTTCTTTACAGTAAGTTCAATTTAGCAAATAAACTGTAATTGTGCACCAAAAATTGGTGTCCAAATGTTGCACAACATCATCAGGATAGGTGTACAGTGTAGAGACAATAGGCCATCATTAGATCACCAACAAATAAAATAAAGGACAAAATAATTTATTATGATAAAATGAAATAAAAAGCTGTCCTGAAGTACGTTTAAATCCCTCTTTAACTAATTTACTTAACAAACAGTGCTTTTGAACAACATTCCAAATGTTTTTTTTAGTCTTGATAAACTTTCTATACTGTTTACACGCTTTGTAGTGCTTATGTAGTAGGATGTTAGCTTCGCCTGTTTAGGCCTTAAACTTTATTTTAATGCTGCAACTATCAATTATTTTCATTGTCAAATCTCATTTCGAATTGTATATTTTCACTGCTCCCCATTAAACGGATAAAAACAAGTAGATGTCCCAGGAATTTGCATTGTATTTTCTTTTCTGAATATTTTAGTTTAGTTTAGAATTTATCAAATTGTATTGAATAATTGTTCAGCCTTTACTCTTCACATAGACAATGTCACATATACCATATTGAACATACAACAATACTTTACAAATAAAATAAAGATTTGGATACACTAAACTGTATTTTCTGAATCATATCACTGTTTATTTTCCACACATTCTCATGAGTGTGGACCTTGTTTACCTCAGTTCTTACATCATACTGCTGACTCCAGCATGGCAAATTAAAAAACGCCTTAAAGTAGTGAAAGTAGGGAATAATAAAAAAGTATTGAGGAAAAATAAAACAGGGAGTAATGCAGGATAAATCTGTTAAATGTGGGATGTGGGTTGTGAGAATCCAAACGTGAAATATGAACCCGAGCGATGCACATTTGGAAAGTGATGTCCGCGAAGTCAGTTCCCATTAGGTTCATACAAATATTTCAAGCGTTAGACGAGACACGCTCAAGCATTTACGTCCTCACTGAAGTGCAGTGCAATGGTATTTGCCATTGTTCTTGGTTGCATAGCAAGCATAGACTGTTTCTGTGTAGCCGCAGTGAGTATAATTACACCACTGTAAGATTTAGCAGACATTGTGCCTGCTTTAAGGTGTGAAAGCATTTTTTTTCTACCACCATAGTAGTTAGTTATTTGCATGTCATGTTCATGCCCTTTTCACAGGACTCGCTGCGGCTGTTTCCTTAAGCACATCGGCACATAAACAAACAAAGATTTACCCATCAGCACTGTCATGTCCCTCGACATAGCGCTAATTGGACTTTAAAGTGTTTTAGTCTAAGTGGTAATGACACAATGAGGTTTATCAGCTGAATGAGGTTTATATTGCAGCAGCAGAGATCACATTACAACCAAAACAGGTTTTAGCACTAACATTCCTGGGCTAATTGGCTAATTGAGCCAAACATCGGTTCGAAATAGCACTTTAACTGCCATGAACAATTGAGGTTGAAGCAAGGAATAATTTTTTTGAGGCAAAGGTGTGATTACACAACATTAGCTGTAGCATCTTTAAGGTTGTGGAGGACTGGAGAAATAACTAATACCCTGTTTCGTTAGGGCATATGAATTTTTCATTAGTGGCTTAATAATGAATAGTCATTGGATTAATGTCCAAATTTGTACGCCACCTATCTCAGGCTTTCAGCTACCATCGGGATTTGAATACATTATAGGCCATTCATTTATCTCTTTGAAAAAGGCATTTCTGCAGGCTACATGGCACCTGGTGCTTTGGTGGTAAATACAGTTTTTGAACATTTCATCCACAAGAACTAATGCTCTCGCAGCTACAGTCACACTGCTTGCACGTATAATGGAGGGTCATCCATGTACATGATGGAATTGCTGAAACATGTTATTGTTTTTAGTATTTACATATGGAAATGTTTCTGATTACACTTCAGTCCAAAAGCAGTCAGATATATGCAGATTCCACAACAGTATGTACACAGATCAGGCATAACATTATGACCACCTCCTTGTTTCTACGCTCATTGTTCATTTCATCAGCTCCACTTACTATATAGGTGCACTATATAGTAATTACAGACTGTAGTCCATCTGTTTCTCTGCATACTTTGTTAGCCCCTGTTCTTCAGTGGTCAGGACCCCCATGGACCCTCACAGAGCAGGTACTATTTGGTTGGTGGATCATTCTCAGCACTGCAGTAACACTGATGTGGTGTTGGTGTGTTTGTGTGTGTTGCGCTGGTCTGAGTGGATCAGACACAGCAGTGCTGCTGGAGTTTTTAAACACCTCAGTGTCACTCCTGGACTGAGAGTAGTCCACCAACCAAAAATTTCCAACCAACAGCGTCCTGTGGGCAGCGTCCTGTGACCACTGATGAAGGACTAGAGGATGACCAATACAAACTGTGCAGCAGCAGATGAGCTATTGTCTCTGACTTTACATCTACAAGGTGGACCAACAAGGTAGGAGTGTCTAATAGAGTGGACAGTGAGTGGACACAGTGTTTAAAAATTCTAGCAGCACTGCTGTGTCTGATCCACTCGTACCAGCGCAACACTTAGTGTTACTGCAGCGCTGAGAATGATCCACCACCCAAATAGTACCTGCTCTATGAGGGTCCATGGGTGTCCTGACCACTGAAGAACAGGGTAAAAGGGGGCTAACAAAGTATGCAGAGAAACCGATGGACTACAGTCTGTAATTGTAGAACTATAAAGTGCACCTATATAGTAAGTGGAGCTGATAAAATGGACAGTGAGCATAGAAACAAGCAGGTGCCATAATGTTATGCCTGATCAGTGTATATACCTGACAAAAGACTGAGTGGTAGACTCAATTCCAGGACATTATTGGGATACTTTTGCTGGTAATGTTCAAGTTTTAGGTCATTCAGACATGCAGCATTTAAACAGTACATTGCAGCGGTACAAGCGTGAACGCCCAACAACTCTTTTATTTCTGAATCATATACAAAAACACATTCCCAAAAAGTGTTTCTCTTGTGAAAACTGAAAACTCAAACACAAAAATTTCATCTTTAGAATCGTATACAAAGTACACTACTGTAGCATCTTCTCTTGTGAAACTAAACTGTTAGCTGACATAACAGAATTCGCAGTTAGCATTCTCCTCCAAACGTGTTGAACTGTTCAATGATGTTGCGTTAGCAGCATCTGGTAAAGATGCAGTGACGATCCATGTATCTCAGAAGAAGCATGTTCTAACCTTCACCCTTGAAACTTGGTAGCAATATGTGGTATGGAGAACTTGTTAATGGGCAGAAATTGACCTGGATTTATCACTGGTTTTGTGAAATGTGTGAGGACTGTTATTGTTCTTCAAAATAACGTTTGGGCAACAGTTTACTGAGTAGCAGCAGTTGTAAGGCTACGTGACGCTTAGATAAGTCTTTCGTGACCACTGATGTAAACAAACAAACATTTATAAAGGCTTATTCCAACAAGTTTCAGTTGTCATAAAGGCTGCTTTTGTAAATTTTGATATCATTTCACCTCAGCACATGATGCTTGTAGGAATAAACCGTATTACATATTGATAAAGTTGTCTTTAAAGGCTTCTGTGGATGTTGTGTAGCCTTATGAATGTTGCACTTCAGTAAGGTGTTACCCATTTTTGTCAGTTGTTTGTTTAGTTTTTCAGTTTTTGCAAAGAAACATGGCAAGATGTAATCAGCTGTCTAATTCAGCTGTCATTTTAACCCATTTTTACAGTCGATGTAAAATGCAATTTCTGACTGCTTTGGAAGGCCCTCGATTAAACTATGCATTTTTTTTCCTTCAGTAATGTTGATTGAATACATTCAGATGGAAATATGTATGATTTGCAAAACCAGAAGCAAACCTTTGTCTTTGTTTTTGAACAATAGAAAAGAAAAAACTGTAGGTGTGGTGTCCGTTGTATCTCAGCATGGCCTTTTTGTGGAGAGGTGTAAGATTTTCCACAGCAGGAAGTCTCATCGCTCCCCTTTACCCATCATTGCTCGTTAGCAGCTCAATACAGAGTCACATTTCAGACACAGAGAGCCAACAGTGTCCTAGTTAATAACAGAGTCAACAAAGTTACAGAGGAAAATTTTATCTGATATAAATTCAAAATGTTTGAGTCAACTTCTGATCAGCTGACAGAATGGCCACTGGGGGGACTGCAGAAAAAAGCTGAATAAAATGTTTAGTTATTGCCAACTTACAAAGAAAACATGCTCATTTATTAAAAACATTTTGAAAAATTAGTTGTCCCGAAACTTTTGACAGGCAGGGAAAATGAACCTATGTTAACATAACATGATTTTGGTTGACGTGAGGTTTTTTCTTGCAGTTCGTATTGCTATCGGGGAGATTTCCTTCCATAAAACCCGAGACGAGGACGAAACAGCTAACCTCATCTGGAACGACTCCGCCGTACAGCATGAGAAAATCGCTGAGCTCAGGAACTACCAGGTACAGTTCCATCTGCACACGTCCACACGTCAGCTGGAAACAGGCTCGAGTAAAACAAGGCTAAGGAGGGGAAGTCAAATAGACCTTGAAGGTCATGTTAAATTCACCTATAACATGTAGCCTCTCTGATTGTGAAGTGCAGTGTCACTTGAGGTAAAGTGAGAGCACACTATGTGCGTGTATGAGTGCGTGCATGTGTTTGAAGGTCAGCTCAACTGGGAGCTCAGCGCCATGAGGTCCAGATGATTCATGGCTGGAGTTTTCACCATTCTGTGCACACTCTGCACACTAGGGCTGCAAAATATAGCATTTGCTAATGGCTTATCTCAGTATTGGCCTTTGTGATATTGATACTGCGTATGACTGCAATATGCAAATGAATACTACAACCAATCTCAATGTTTTAACTGTGTTGTGAGCATCTTGTCCAATCACAGTTCCTTAAATCTAGGTCCACAGGTCTATATCTTTCTATCTTAAGTGTTTGTAATTAGGGATGCAACAAATATACAACAATATTAGAAAATTCAATAATTAAATTTTTCAAAATCGGAAAAGCCATTTGAATCACTGATATTTGCCTCTTTTATGAACCCATGCTTAGGGCTAAAAAATGAATCGTTTTTATATCTAAATTGCAATTTAAAGGACTGCAGGTTTCAAATCACAAGAGCTGCAATTTTAATTATATCCAGTATAATCAACAACATTACCTTAACAAGGTTAAAGTGGGGACAGTTAACCCAATAATGCTCAGCTTGGGAACAGCCTGTATTTGAGTGGACCAGTGAGAAGTAACTATGTGCTGCATGCAGAATAACCACCGCTGACTGGCCCTCTGGCACACTGTATGCTCAGTGTGCAAGCATTAAGTTTCAAGTGGATATGCTTCTTGGCCTGTGGCTACTCGCATAAAGCGTTAAAAGTATTTAGCTTAAGTTAAATGCCTACGGGATAAATTTAAAACAGCAACTTTAAATGTGATTTGTACATCTGTCAGAAACGGAAGTGCTTAAACTTAATTGTAGAGTCCCAAACCCAATTTATAAGTATGGACATTTTTTTCAATTTCCATCTGAACATTTCCCTGGAAAGAGTTTCTGGAGGTCACTTAAGGTAAGTGAAAACTTAGGGCAGAATTCAATTTAGATGTTTTATGCAAAAGGCCACTGGACCTTAATTTTTAGAAAATAATTGCAATTTCCATCACAGTTGCAATATTTGTCAAAAAATCGCGATTAGATATTTTCCCCAAAATCGCTGATGCTTATCCCCTGGGGAAACATATGTTTGTTTATCAAGCCAAATGCCAAGTTAGCGTGTCAAAGGTAGCATACAGTTGGCAGCTCTGCACCTCCGACTCATCTCAGATTGAAATTTGGCACAGCTCTCACAATTCGAAGTGACGGCACGGTCTTAACTCTGGGTGAAGTCCAAATAAGTTTCCCACTGCCCTGGATTGCTACCTAGCTGGCATGGTCTCAGTTGCATTTGTTATAGAGAATAAATAATAGGGTTCAGGCTAGCTGTCTATAGCAGTAAGAAAAAATATCCAGACTGCACCGGTCGTTAAAGCCAGCATAGTGGAGTTTAGCGCATCCTCTGATATGAGGTGGTTTTGAGCACCATAAAAACCTTGATCATTGCCCAGTTCTCCAAACTTGCGCAAAAAGTTTTTATTTGCAAAATGGTGGTTAAAAAGTGGCTCACTGCTGTTCAGACAGAGCCAATAACTTGATGAGGGTTGCCATACTGGGCAGAATCCCTGGTTTAGCATTTTACAGTGGAAATAATTGTTTATCAGTGATGTTATTTTTTAATACCTTGTAGTTTTTTACTTACATTGTAATGAGAAGGAAAATAAATTAATCAGATTTATGCAACAGAGAATGATATTATTATTAATATCAATATTAGTAATAATAAAACTCAACAATATTTATAAAACTTTTTCATTCTCTAATTAAAGTGAAGCATCCTTTGAGCTTTTCTTGTTCTTCTAGAATACTTGAATATTGAGGTAATTTGATTGAACATTCAAAAATGAAAATATTGAATCGTTTTGTTTGATCAAAGCATTCATATAATCCAACAAAAGTAAATTATTTAGGTCAAATTAATCCAAGCCAATGCCATTGTTGATTCAGCAATGTGCTTTTAATATACATTGCATGCCGTATTGTAATTACAGTATGTAGCAGTATGATCACAATACTAGCATGTTGTCCATATGCAGAGTGAAGGAGATGGTTCTCTGACTCTGTGTAGGTAGATGACCTCTCAGAGCCGCAGCGCTGTCAGCCTGCCCTGCCCAAGTGCCAGTCACTCTGAACCGTTCAGACGCTGTGCTTTAACCGTGGTCAGAGTGATGAAGAGGGCATGCAGCTGCAGATGGTCAGCAAAGCACTAGTTCAGCAAAGAGTCATATTCATATAGTTTTCTGCTTAACTCGAATGCATTTAGTCAACCACCACATGTTTGGTGTCTGAACATTACTTTTATACTTTTACACTAGAGCTACAAAGCAAGTGTGACATATGGAAATGTTTGGACAAACGGATATAAAAAAAAAAAACTGATGTCAGTGCCATCATTCCGACAAATCAAATAAATAATACATCTACCAAACTACAATGCAAACATTAATGCTAAAGACAATAAAAGTGATTTCAGAAATGAATAAAACAAAAAAATACTGTCCAAATGCCAACATTTTGACTTGATACCCTGTCAAAAGAAAATAGTAATGGCTTCTATGACAGCAGGGAAGAAAGCAATTTTGAAATTTCATGCATAACTGAGCGAGCACTTAAGATCTACATTCTTGGTCTGTTTTATGGATATCCTGGTACCGAAACGGGCCGCTGCCAGATAGAATCGAGCAAGGACTGATGCTGTGGTCGCTTGGTCAGTTGTCAGAAAAGTTTGGGACAGGACCTTGTCTGGCTTATTTATTATTATTATTATTTAATTGTGCGTCTTTATGTATGTCTAATTATCTGCTGGGTTGTTCGTGCTGATCCTGAGCCCCAGTCCGAGTACCGTATTATGCTATTAATAACTACAGGCTACAGGTTTAAGGATGCATAAGAAATAACTAGTTATATTGTTATAATATTGAAGCTCAGTGCTGGTTGACAGTGTAGATAAATGAAAGTTTTAGCTTGTGTACAAATGATTCCACTTACGGCATGCTGTAAAATCCTCCCATGCCCTGTTAGTGTGTGGTTTAAAGATGTGATGTGGGAGTCTTTAACAGCTGCTATGTGACTGCTCCACTGTCTTTTAATTGTTTTTAAAGATAGGAGGCAAGTACTTAGATAGCTGAGCTTTTAGCAGCTTTTCAGCGTGGTTTTATATACATTTAATTACTTCTTAGCTTAATTGCTTAACCTAAAATAGGTCTTTGATCAAATGAAATCCATATTATGTTTTCCAAATTCCATTTTATGTTTTCCCATTTTCCTTATGTTTTCTTGAATTTTTCTCATATTCAGATTTTTGGATGTTTACTATAAGAAAGCATGTTTAAATAACACAAACAGTGGCACTTTCAATTCATTTCATTGAAACTGCTTAATAATGTAACAGTTACAGCAAGAAATGATCAGGTCATAAATGACTTTTATAAGTGAATGAATTCATTTATAACTCACTTGCTCACTCAAGTTTAGCAGACTATAAATTCTCCACTGGGGACACCACTAGCATGCATAGTCATTGTGTGCATCAGTGAAGTGGAAGAGACAGGCAGGAACCCACACCAGTTCTCTCCAATGCACATGTTTTTTTAGTCTGTTTTGGTTTAATTTTGGGAGTGTATGAAGTTAAAAACCTGAAACATGCCCTACATAAGTATACAAATGCAGAGCATATTCATTGCCTCTGTAGTTTGACAACAATTGTTTGGTCAGTCAGAGGAAGGATCCTTACTAGCTGGACACTGTGATGTGCATAGAAGCATGACATGATTTCCAGAAAGAAGAGTTTTCACTAGAAGAACAACAAATGTAAACATAATGGCCCTTATTCATCAAAGTTGCGTACAGTCAAATATGACTAACAAATAAGCACATGTAGATTTCACCAACAGATTAGTTATTCATCAGGTTTATCTTGGTCTTTAAAATCAAACTAAACGTCTGGTAGAAGTGCTTTTAACTCTGAGTGTAATATTTTACCAGCCTGAAAAATACCTGATTTGCAGTGAATCAAAATCAAATCAAATCAAAACCATTGTCAATAACATCAACATTATGAGCAACAATAGAAAATAACAATGGTAATACAAATAACTTTGCATGCTGCATTCCTTGTACTGAAGTGTTTGTTCTTTTTACATGTGCACTGTGCATATAAACAAATGCTGCTATTACAAATTCCAATGATTTTTGCTTGATACTACTAATACATGAAATAACTGCCTTTCTAAAAATACAAAACAGCTTATCTAGTACAGCAGGAGCCCATATGCTGCATATTATCCCAGTGTTTTGTGAAACTACTCAATCACATCACTTTATCTGAAAAAAAGCCTATAATATTTTGTTCATTTTACATTTTTATTCTTTTCAATCATTGGAATTTTAACACTACAAAGCTGTTTAACCTCTGGCCAGTAGAAGGGGTGGCAGTGCACCAAAAACTCTGCCTATTGAGGCAACCATTGGCTCATGAACTACTGAATGCTTTTGTTTTATTGGCTCACTTTTGAAACATCTGCGTGAATTAGGGTGTGCTTCATGTAAATTGTATGCATGTGAGGGCAAATTGAGGCGTGCCAGTTGTAAATGAAATGCAAATGGGGTACTCATACACAGGAGCTTGTTTTCACACACTGAAGCAGATTCACTAGTTGTGCCCAATTCATTGCTTGATTCATCGTCATAGGACAGTTTACTGGATCAGATGTGGAGTTGTCTGTATGTCATTCAGGATGGTCAAATGTATAATGTGGATGGTATAAAGACAAATTACACAAAATATTAATATTTATATGTTCATAGAAACAGTTTCCTCCAAATCTCTATCCATTTGAATGTTCTCATAGAGCCCTTCTCATGGTCTTTGAATGACAAGTAAGATTTTTGCGTCACTTTTCTGTCACTTTGGCCCAAGTTTGGTCCTCATAAAGCCGCTCAATGCAGCTGCTGTAGTCAGCAGACTTCCCCTTGGCGATGAGAATTCCCTTCCTCAGTTTCACATATCATAGGATTATAGGACGAAAGAAAAATACTCCAAACAATTGGGTTTGATTTTCGCGCTCGTGACATCCTTCTCGCGCGCCGTGGTGCTCTCAGCATTCTTTCTGTTGAGCGTTTCCAGTCAGCCCCCGTCCTCATTATGGCTGTCTCATCCGGATAATCACAGATTCCTTTCACACTTGCTAAAATGCACATTCTTGGCTTTTCTCCCCCTCCTCCTTTCCTGTGATTTGCTCTGAAAGTTTGCTGTCAAGCTGCAGTTCATACGGGCCTAATTAACGGCCCTGTTCAGGCTCATTTGCTCAAAGAATACAGAAAAACCCACTTTTTATACTCCTTCCCTTCTCCCCCTCGTTGCATTCAAGCAATTCATTCATCTGTCACTACCTACAATTGCAGGGGCTCTGATGCAGAACCAATTACTTTGGCCCTTGGAGTCGAGATTGATCGTCTTTTTTTGCGTTTTAAATTAAAAATGATGTGGTAAACTAAATAAGGGTTAAGAAAGGTCCTGCAATCACCTTTTGTTTTGAGTCTGTAATTGGGCATAAATGTCAGAACATAGTAGTCTCACTTCAAGTTTTTGGCTTTAATGTGCTTCCTTTTTTCCTCTTCTTGGAGGTGAACTTTGAAATGCCCTCTAACTATTATTATTTTCCTCATGTCTTCCCTTAGAGAATTAACCATTTCCCGGGGATGGGGGAGATCTGTCGGAAAGACTGTCTGGCGAGGAACATGGCCAAGTAAGTTGTTCTCACCTTAAGGAAAAAAGTAGCTTTACTTTGCACATAACTATCCTAACAACTGATTAGCAACTTATTTGCCATCAACATGGATATTCAGAGACTGTTTCTCTTACCTTTTTTCCATCTCTTCTGGTCAGGATGATTAAAATCCAGCCTCAGGAATACAGCTTCATCCCCAAAACCTGGATCTTCCCAGCTGAGTACACTCAGTTCCAGAACTACGTGAAGGAGCTGAGACGCAAGCGTAAGCAGAAGACGTTCATCGTCAAGCCTGCCAACGGAGCTATGGGTCACGGGTAGGTCACTGGCCCTGCGGCCAGGCGCTAGTGTGTGGCTCTTCCAGTGCATGACCACGTTCCCCTTTGGCCCCGGTGTGAAAGATGGCCGCTGACATAAGCTGCCGTGGAAATGCCTCGTGAGCTGCGGCTAAATGGCATCGTTTAGTACAAAGACGAAAGCGATTCGTACGCTGGAACTCATTTTAATTTCACCTCTCTTCCATAAATCGGCGCCAAGGGCGCATTCTCCGACGGGTCATACTTTCCTCAAGGTCCCGGTTAGTGATTATGTAGTCACACGTAGTACCTGAGAGTCCTGGGGTGACTATAAATAGATTACAAATAGAGTTTGTGCTCTCTGTCTGCCACTACTACTGTCCCTTTTTCTCTGTGTCTCTGTGTCTGTCTATCTGTCTCTTCTTCTCTCTGTGTTTCCCTCTGTCTCACTTATTTCACACATTGATACAAGGACTTGGTGCCAGATTCACGGAAGTGTCTTAGAAAGAAAATCTACCTAAATGAGTGTTTTTTCTTCATTCTTAAGAAAAAAGTTACGAGAAATTGTTATTCTTCAAATAATTTTTAAGAATTATCTTATTTTCTATTGACTATTTTCTTAAGAATATTTCTAAGAACAAGTGATATTCTTGAAAAATTATGTCCTTAAATGTTGTCTTTACCTTACGATAAGCCTCACACTTGTCTTAGGCTGTAAGAGATGACAAGGTGAGCATCTAAATTTATCACAGACGCTGCCTCTGCTGCTCCTGCCCATCCTCGTCCGCCCACAATTATCATATTTTCCAGTGAGGATTTTTTTTCTGTTGGCTTTGGTTTCTTCCATCATCACCTCTAGTTCTAACTTAACATTTTTTGAATGCTTGTTTTGATGTTTTTCCTCCATTTTGCTGTCCTCTGAGTGGATTAAACTAAATAACAGAAACAGCAGTTAATATGTTTATGGTACATGGTCAAATGCAACTTAGCATACATAAGAAAACAATGAAGATTTTCTTAAGAAAATATAAGATTATCCTAAGAGAATATTTTAGAACTTCTTAAGTTTTCATCAATAATTGCATTTAAGAACATTCCTAACTTCTTACTGTTCGTCTTAAGAACTTTCGCAAGTTTTTTCTCAAGAAAGCTTTCATGAATCTGGCCTCTGGTTTCAACTTGTTAAAACCTCACTGTCACGCAACTATGAGGTCAACACAAGTACAAAAAGCAATGGTATTCCGTGTTTCTCTGAGCAGACGGGATGGCTAGCAGCTGTTGATGTTACTTTATTATTAATAGGGCTGTCTCTATAAAATGTATTAGTAATTAAGGATGAGTAAGAATTGTCAAAGCGTTATATGTCCTCATTTTTAATAACGATATAAGGTCTGAACTCTGTGCTTCACCAGAGGGGACTGTAGAGTCTGAGGTTCTCGTTTTGGTCTGAGGTTCTAGTCTGTTTAGTCCAGTGAAGGAATCATAGAAAGACTACTGCAGCTGTCTAAAACCTACTGCACCAAAGGACAAGTGTTGTACCGGGTTGTGTAGCTGAAAGTACAAAGTGCAGCTGTGACACATAGGAACTACTGATAAACATCAAGCTCAGGCTCATTTTACACTATTTGTGTAGATTTGATGGAATAAAACTTAAATCATTAAGTGAATGTATCAAGTTTGGTATCAGCTAATTCTTCACAGACTCACTGTTTTCCAGCTGTGTTTTTGTAGTCTGGGTTTAATAGAATACAGTAATTGCCACAAGTGCAAAAAAGCAAAAATATTCCATGTTTCTCTGAGCAGATGGCATGGATACCAACTGTTGATGTTTCTGCATTTTTAATAGGACTCTACACTGTCAGTATAAAGGTTCTGTGCAGGTACATTTTTCTTTCATCGAGGTACAAATAATGTAAATGTACCCTCCAAGGTGCAGAAATGGTCTTAAGGTCCAACTGTGCAAGTTTTTCCAGGGGAAAGGATACCTTTTCGTAATATAATGTTTTAAAACATAACAATAAAAAGCCAGGAAACGAGACAGGATATTTGGAGTCAAAAAAACAAAAATATATAATTTCAATGGATTATAGTACAACTATGTTCCCTAAGGTACTGAAGACTCACCCTTGAGGGATCCACTCCAATGAGAGGGATGCTGTCCCAATGACAGTTCGGTACCTTTATTTCTGAGAGTGTGCAATATATTAGTAATTAAGATTTCAGTTTTTAAATCTGGACTCTCAGAGGGCAGTGTAGGGCAGTGTCTGTGTCTTACATTTTGCTTAGAGGTTCCTGACCGTTTAGTCCAGTGAAGGAAACATAGATAACCTACCTCACACTGAATGAGAAGTGCTGCACTGTATCGTATAAGTGACAGTATAAAGTTCAGCTATAGCACATAGGAGGTACCGTTAAACTTCAAGATCAAGCTCATTTTACAGTCAGTTTGTTTAGATTTAGTGGAATAAGATTTGACCTGTCATGTTTGGTATCAGCTAACTCCTTGCAAGTTTTCCAGCTATGGATTTTTGCAGTCTGGGAATAATATAGTTCAGTTAATATTATTAATATATATGATGCTGAGTAGCTTGTTGTCCTTGGATGCTTTGCTTTATCCGTGGTAGCCTTAAGAGTCCCATGTGACTTTTCATTTTTTAGTTAATTGATTTGTTTTTTTAATAATGGGCCACAAATGCCTTTCCCTGTGTATAGTCAGGTATTATTATCAAGTTATTGCAGATTAGTTCGATAATTTTTTAAAAAATTTAAGTTTTTAAAATAAGTAAAATAAGTAAGTAAAAGTATAAGTAAAAAGGGACTGACTGGACATTGACAAACCATGCAGGGCCTTTCAAGTATTCCAAAATATGGGAAGCTTTTAAATACACCTGATTTAAAATGGTGAACATTGAAATGCATGTAAATGATCCACCAGGCTCTGTTTCTTGCAGTATTAGACCAGTAAGAGAATTGGAATTATTGTGATTGATTGCTAATTTACTAATTATTTCTGATTCATTAAGAAGATACATTTTAAGTGATGAGTTTAATTGACTATCTGCCATGAAAACCTCACTTTTTAAATCAGAATAAGATTTTTAGGAACATTTTTAAGACTTGCATACCTAACACTGGGATTGTTTAGCTAGTCCCTATTTGAGAACCCTTTTCAGTGGTATCCCGTTTGATGATCTTTGTAATGGATGCTGTGTTTGACTCTGTGAAGTTATAGAAAAGGAATTGTTCATCCAGTGTCTAGTTATCCATAATAAATTAATGTAAACTCATCCACATTTCTTTGTGGAGCTTTTAGAGTCTCTTGCAGATTTGAATTTTGGCCTGTATTTCACCCAGACACCAACAGATGGGAGTATTGACATGTGTAAGCAGCAGAGGACGAGTGGGGCCTTTTTACTTTCTTTTTTTGTTGTCCTTCAGGTATATGAGCATTACTTATGGTCTTATGCTACAGTAAGCTGGTATTTATTAAAACTAAAAGTCATCAGAGGTTGAATTATTGCGACACATTATGAAAGTGAAGGAAGATGAGTTTAACTTGGCCACTCGGAGGAGGGAGAGGCGGGAGATTAAATTTGAAAACGCGCAGCGTGACGCGGGAAATGAAGTTATATCTTCCTCCGTAATTTATTTTCCAGTCTCAAAACTAAATGAACTTATTGTTTGCGTCTGAGCTTAGGCATGTTAAAAAAAAAAAAAAACAAAGCGGCGAAGGCTTAAAGGAGAGATCCCCACTGGTGCCATATTAACCAGTCGGCCAAAGTGGGTTTTGATTACCCTCCATCAGAGCTCATCAATCATGTCATATGATTCGCTGCCACAGCCGCAAACAACTCTAACCCCCGTCCGGATGCAGCGCAGCTCAGGGGAGCATAGCCAGACTGCAGAATGGCAAACATACAGTCAACAGCAGTATGTCATTATGGTCGGGATAAGTGGCTCTACTCAGGGTTTTTGATTATGATCTATCGTTCTTTATGTTTCAGCGTTTTCACATCACAGATTTTTAATGAGAAGTTTGCCAAAATGACAGCTGCACTGAAAAAAATGCTGGTGCCTTAAATTTACTTGAATCAAATGTGTATCATTTCCATATTAATAAAATATACTACATCGACACAGTTGTCTTCTTTCAGGATATTTTCTTTTTGCAATAGTTGTATTAATGTAATATATTTTATTCATGTGGAAATGATAATACATTCAGTACTTTGTTTTTTTTTAGAGGTTTGATATTTAACTGTATCCTAACAGCTAAAATGTTAAAAGCAAACATTTCCAGTAGAATATTTTTTTAAGGTTCTTTAGCTTGTCGATGCTGGAGAACAGTGTTTTTTTTTTTAGATTTTTTGTAAAGAACCATTGAGGAATGTGGATGCTTGAAGTGTTTGTCTTATTTCTCTGAAGAATCATGAAGCAGTTTGGATATATGTGAGGCATTTTGTTACTCCTTAATTAGCACAGCTTCTTATGATGTTAGTGGCTGTTACTGATTGCTGTGTTTGTTCATTTGTAATTAGTTTACTACTTCTATTTAAAATGTGGGGTCTGTTTTTTAAAAGTGTATGAGATGCTTAGGAGTTCAACTCATCAGATCATTTTGTAAGCACAAAAATGAAAAATGTTATACAAACCTTACTAGATGTTGTACAGGACACTGCAAAAGTCAGAGACCCTCTTAGTTTATTTTATTTCTAGTAAAATGGTCATTAAGTTAGTCATTTTTTAATGTTAAAAATGCAGGAATTGTATATTTAATAAGAAATTACACAGAAGCCTTTATGATTTTATTTCGAATATCAAATCTAGCAAATATAATTTGTCTAGTCTTTAATTTTTTGCACCTTTGCTGCCACTTTAACCCCTTAAAATCCCAGGCGTAGTACATACTAAGACTATTATTCAGTTACTACAGGGACTTAAGTGCAAACTGGCTGAGCTATTCTTAGGTCATAGAAGTGTGTAATAAGAGTTTAAGGGGTTCACTCTTAGAACCAGCCAGCTCCCAACAAAAGCCATTCCCAAATGAATCACTGGCATTGTGTTCCCCTTCAAAGAAAGACAACATTCACACAAGCAACTGTTCAAACCTTTCTTTCTTATGTGTGCCTAAAATAACTAAAGGAGATATTTCTGAGATTTTATATCTGCTTGCATAATGAAGTGGAAAGTCAAAGGAAAATATCTTTGCTAGAGAGGAGAAAATTAAGCTCCACTGTTGCTTTAGATCTGAAAAAATTCACAGGTGTTTTTGTCCATCCCATAGGAGACTCTGAAAGGATGTGTAGCTGCCAAGAAGCTGTTTCTGAGAAAAGAAAATAGACAAAAAGAAGATTATTTGCACTAGAACATCTAAGATGTGGAGTAAGGTTTTATGGACTGCTGAGTCTAAATTTGTAACTGTGATTATTTAGATTGTGAGAAGCAGAAAATGCAACCAACTTCTGAGACTGAAATTTGGAGGTGTTGAAAAGCATTCCTGCAGATTTCTTTAAAGAAAAACAATGGAAACTCAGAAATGTCATATTATACTTAGTTATTGAGGCTACTATAAATATAAATGTAAATATCTGTTTTCTGCTTTTGCCTGTAATGTATGTAGATACACATACACAGCGATACAATTTTGTTCTGATTTTACTGATTCACTAAGCACTCATGTATGGATAGAAGCAAAAGCAATGGATTGGATTTTCTTGATTTAAATAAGTGCATAATTTCCATATTAATACAATATGTGACACAGTTTTTGCCATATTTGAGTAAATCAAAGGACAAATTTGTCTTGATGTAATTTGTAGGTAATTCATGTGAAAATGATACGCACATTAGAAGTAATTTTTTCAGTGTAAAAAAAATCAGTTTGCTTAATCAGTTTAGTATTTGCCTTATAAAAGGCTTTTGCTTTTAATTATGTTCGGAAAGAAAGGAGCAGGACCACTTTTTGGTGTATCAGCTGAAGGTGCAGCGCAGAGAGGGCGACATGGCTGGCTCTAATAGGTCCCAGAACAAATGAACTGTAACTTACAAACCCTTCCCCTCCCCTCCTTTGTGAGGGGCTCAGTGCCTACGGACCCGGAAAGTTATAGCCTCGGCTAAACATTTCAGGCTCATGTAAACCAGAGTAGGAAAAGTATATAACCAATTAAGCTAACTTTGCCTGATGGCAGTATATTTTACTGCCTGAAGAGGTTTTTCTAAGGCCCCCTGTTTGCAAAACACCCACCAGTTCACTTCTTCATGTGCTCGTCCATTGGCAAATGTACCGTCGTCTGTGTACCATAACGTCTGAGTGCCGGCGACAAGCACCCCAAAGCAAATAAATGGTCGCAGAGGTTGAAATGGACCAAGACGTCTGGTCCTATTAACCTGGGCCTAGTCATGGTCTGGAGATCAGCAACAGAGGCAGTCAACTTAATAAAGCCCAGTCCTTCCGTTATAGTGCAGAGATTCATATTCAGTACCAACACACCCTAACAGCTTCTTAAATATGTATGTGGCACATTTCTGGAATGGGTTCCCCTTTGAATCTTATGAATTTCCCCTCCCAGGATATCGTTGATTCGGAATTGCGAGAAACTCCCGGCGCAGGACCACTTCATTGTGCAGGAGTACTTGGACAAGCCCTTCCTGATGGAGGGCTACAAGTTTGACCTGCGGATCTACATCCTGGTCACTTCCTGCGACCCCCTGCGCATTTTCCTGTACAACGATGGCTTGGTGCGGATGGGCACAGAGAAGTACCACACCCCCAACGAATCCAACTTGGTAAGAACACTGGAAACATCTCAATTGGAATAATAGAAGACAAAGCGATCCACACTTGGATTTGCATAGTTTTGTAGAGGATTTGAAGCATGCAGTCAGTAAAGAGTTAGTAAGTAAAACATTACTGAAAAACAGAAAGTAAAAAATTAACTCGAAACCTACTCATAATAGGTGTCAGTAGGTGTTTGCTTTGGCATCTACCTATTGTACCCATTTTGTAAAATTGCTGTTTTCCTTTAAAGTATCTTAATAGTTCCTGATTGATTTACATACTTTCTGGCATTAGGGATTGTCACTGGGTTTGTAGGATCCACAGACAAATACAGAGAGTCTAATTGCTATCAGCACATCATCTGAGTATAAAAAGGGGGAAGGTAACTTATTTGCTTTTAACCCTCAGAAGTATTGAGTTACTACTGTACTTTTCCTATAATATTTAAATGCATGTATGTAGTTATGTAAGTAATTACATGATTAATCACGAATTGCCTTTGCGTTGAATTTGCTCTCTTTTTGACAGATTTGAGCTGCATTTCTGAATTATTTCTATTTGCTTCAATGTCAAGAAAACATGGCAAATGTTAAGCATATTTTTGTTTCTGCAAAACAAGACAGTACGCAACTTTGAATAATAAATTACAAACACAGCTGTGGTAGCGTTTCCTCTAGATTGATCTTCAAGTTGGGTGGTATTTTAAGTGGCGTTTGATCATTAGGGCTTAGAACGTTTGCTTATCCAGAAGGAGGAGCTCTCTCTGCAGGTTGCTTGTCGATAAAACAGCAAAGATAAAACACTTCACTTGAGTTTCATATCTTTTATTACCATTTGTTGCACACCATATTTTTCAAGAAAACAACCCAAACTAATATTTCATTTTGCAGTAAACCTCTGTGTCTATAAGGACCAAGAAATTCTGTAATTAAAGCCTAACATGGAAGACGCTGTTCTTCCGGCACAAACCAGCTCGCCTCTGCCAGATGCTTCAGTATCAACAGTCATATCTGGGATCTCTTAATTTAGTCTGAATTTAGTGTAGCTTTACATCTCTAAGCAGATAATTTAATATATAATAGGTCAGTTTAAATTAACTCATACCACATAAAAACTGAACGCAACAAAGCAAACGTTAGCCAGTTCCATCCTTTTATCCAAACCAGGCAGCACTTTTACCTGTTTTATGATATGAGAAACGCTGTGTGGTCAACTGAGTGTTTTGAATCTGCATTTTTAATGGAATTTTATTCTCGTTTTAATAAGGTATTATGCCATGCTTGTGTTATGGCTGGTGATAACTGCGACTCCTAAGTGTTAAGAGACATAATATAGGTTTATACTAGACATTACTTATGCCTAATGGTTTTCAGTTTATACTTAAACTGATTCCCCTTTGCCTTCTTTCCAGAATCAGCTGTACATGCACCTGACCAATTACTCTGTAAACAAACACAACGAGAACTTCGAGCGGGATGAGACGGTGGACAAAGGCAGCAAGAGGTCCATTGGCTGGTTCACAGAGTTTCTCCGCACTAACGACTACGACGTTTCCAAATTCTGGGGCGATGTATCCGTAAGTCTTGAAATATGAGGGATTTTTTCACTACCTTTTTCCACTGTTAACATTTGTCTAAGTTTATTTACTAAAAAGTCATCATTCATTTTTACATGAATGTTATTATCCCACCTTCTCTTTATGAACGTTATTATCCCACCTTCTCTTTTGGTTGCTGTGCCTTCAAGAGTAATATATAAAAGGACCTCTGGTCTGCCCTGTAATGTGCCTCATTCAACAATGCAGTCCAAGCTAAAACACTTCTTATAACTTCATCGTGACTCTTAGGAGCTAAACTGCTGTAGGCTGAATAGGAGACAATATGTAAATGTATTGGTTTTTGTGACATCACAAGTTCAACATCGTCTGTTTTTGCACTTTAGTGTCCATGTATAGACTATATGGATCATAAGGCTACATTTTGAAACTTCAAAAAAGTGAGGAAAATTGTGTTTTCCATTATATGATCCCTTTAACATGCACACGTACAGTATTTTTGTAATGTATAGTAACTATAAACAGATCTTGCTTGATATTACACATTCACTCAGTTGAAATGCTGTACAAAATATAATGAATGGTTGTTTAATTAATTTGTTGCTATGTGCGTCTATCGTTATTTCATTGTGTCATATATACTGCACTATTCCACTTCACCACAGGGGAACTTTCTCTTGGTCTGTGTTTTCAGTTCAGGCTACAGTTTGAGCTGTCATTCTTTTGCTCCTCTGTCACCGTCTCTATTTTTGTCTGTGTTTTTACTAGCTCATCCTTCAGCAGACATTTCCCTTCCTCCCCGTTATGTCTCAGCGCACCATTCCTTTCTTTAAGAGGAGGCTTCAACCTGTCTCTGTCGTTTCACCGTCCTCCACCTCCCTGACACTCCTCTCGATTACTGTGATTATACAACCATCCTGCTGTCCCGTTTTTCTCCTCCGCCACTGTGAAGACAGCGCCTTTTCACTCATTCACTCATCCCTCCATCCGCCCTTTCCTCCTGACCCTCGCCCTCTCCTGTGTCTCCAGCTCGGAAGGATTCTGTTTCCTGTCAGTGTGTTGACACCTCTACCTCTGACTTTTGTTTTTTTGTGTGTGTTTTTTTTCCCTCTACTTTCTCAGTTTGGTTCATTCTGTTATTTTCCCTCCTAAGCATGCTGACCCCTCGTTCTCATCCCAGATCCGTGCCGTAAGCGTCCATTCGCTCTCTATGCTTCTCTAGGTTTGTTTACTCCAGGAAAGAGGGGTCTTCTCGCTGGTTGTAAACACAAAACCCGCAGCTTTATTTTCCCCAGTGGCTTACTCTGCCCTGATTTTTATTGAACACAATGCTTTTATTGCTTTCCATCCCATTTGATTTCATAGCTGCACTGCAGGGCTGCACAATTTATAGTTTGTTAATCATTATCTTGTTATTGACCTTTGCAATACTGATATTGCAAAATGGGTAGGGATATGCAAATGAGATCTTAACAAATCACAAATATTTTCTTGTGTGCAGTGAGCATCCTGACAAGTCACAGTTTCTGATGAGTTTCTGTGGGTGTTTGGTTGAGTCACAACATTCACTCGATCTCATAAATGTGAATAGTTTTGCATAACCATGTCACATCAGCGGTTCAGAAAAGTATGTTAATATACTATAAGATATCTAGTGCTGTCACTGCAGATATATTAATACCTGAGTAATCTGCTGATTACAATCACAAGTGGCAAACATTACAAATGAACTTAACTAACAATAACAAACCATGTGTAGCCTTTCAAAGATCACAATTGGTCAATATCAATCAATCAATCAATTATTTAGCAAATCTTTGTTTATACAGCACCTTTCCTACAAGCATTTGTAATCCAAACAGCTTTACAAAGTGACAAATTACAAGGACCCAGAAAACAGAATAAAAGAAACAAATTTACACAATTTTCCACTTTTACCAAAAGTAGTGAATCGTTAAGACACTTTTGTTTATATATATATATATATATATATATATATATAAACAAAAGTGTGTGTGTATATATATATATATATATATATAAACCAATCAGGCATAACATTATGACCACCTCCTGCAGTAACACTGACGTGGTAGTGGTGTGTTAGTGTGTGTTGTGCTGGTACGAGTGGATGAGACACAGCAGTACTGCTGGAGTTTTTAAACACCTCAGTGTCACTACTGGTCTGAGAATAGTCCACCAACCAAAAACATACAGGCATCGTCCTGTGGGCAGCGTCCTGTGACCACTGATGAAGGACTAGAGGATGACCAACACAAACTGTGCAGCAGTAGATGAGCTATCATCTCTGACTTTACATCTACAAGGTGGACCAACAAGGTTGGAGTGTCTAATAGAGTGGACAGTGAGCAGACACAGGGTTTAAAAACTCCAGCAGCACTGCTGTGTCTGATCCACTCGTACCAGCGCAACACACACTAACACACCACCACCACGTCAGTGTTACTGCAGTGCTGAGAATGATCCACCACCCAAATAATACCTGCTCTATGAGGGTCCATGGGTGTCCTGACCACTGAAGAACAGGGTAAAAGGGGGCTAACAAAGTATGCAGAGAAACAGATGGACTACAGTCTGTAATTAGTTTAAAATGAAGAGAAGCAAAATTTGAACCCCAAATATGTTTTGCCTGATATACTCTGTTTACTAATGTACCAGACACCAATTAGAAAATTTCAAATATTTATTATTATCATTCAAATTACCAACTAATCATTGAGATGGTTCAGAAAGGTAAAGTATTTTTCTTCAGTCAAGAAACTGAGCTTAAATCAAAGTATACTGCAGCACAATTTAGAATTTAATCAGTGTTGTACACACCTACTGAAGCATGTTTAAAAAATCTTATAAATTCTTATTTTTATTTTCCTTTCCTTTTTGTGTAGCTAAAAACTTATTCAGCTGCAGCTTGGCCACGGCCTATATAAACTCACTCATTCATCTCTGTGGAGGACGCATGCTGGGCTCACACAGAGACAAATACACACACACTCACCCCCACACACGCGCTTTGTTACTCCCTGTTCTCCGTGGAGCTCACGCAGTTCTGGCCTGCTTCTCAGTACCTGCCAGCGTTGGACTGGGGCCTCCTTAAGCCCTCAGGATCCCCCACAGGACGCCCTGCTCTCTGGCCTCCATCCCCCCTGCAAGCCTCCCGCCTGCTCCCTCCAATAGAGCCCCCGCCTGCCTGAGCGCTGATAAGAGAGCGCAGAGCCCAGAGCAGGCACTCCGTCCCTGCCTTACCGCACCGGCTCGTCTGCCCGACACATTAAGCTGACCACGTCCCATTAGGCAGCGCAGGCGCTAATGCCGCTCTATTACTCAGTGGGTGCACAAGCAGCAGCACCGTAGCCGAGCAGATCCCCCCAGGCCCAGCACCGAAAGTGATCTCTACATTGAACAAGGAGGCTTTACTACTCCCGAGGGAAGCGGAGATGGGGGAAGGCCGTAGTGGCCGTCACATATTTCAATACAGTGTAATTCAGTTATATCCAGTTCAAGTTTAATTGGAAAGGATCCATATCATGGAAAACATATCTTTCCTTACCTTTTTTTGAAGTAGTACAGTTTGTTGTACTATGCTGAAGCAGAGTTCCACCGTTTTTTTAAATATTTTCTTTGTAGTTTAGTCATTAAGATATAAAGACATTCAGTAACACTCTACTGTAGGACACTGTTAATAAGGCTACATGACTCCTACATAAGCTTGTAATGGCAACTGACATAACCCTACATAAATGTTAATAAACGCTTATTCCAAAGGGTGTCATTCACTATAAAGGTTACATGTGCCAATTTTGATCAAAGTTAGTTAAAGTAGTCTTTATGACAGATGATGTCTGTTGGAATAAACATTTATAAACACTTATGTAGGATTATGTTAGTTGTCATGACAAGCTTATGTAGGTGTCATGTAGCCTTATGAACAGTACTCTACAGTAAAGTGTTTTTTATCATTCAGAGAAATCAGTGGAAATTCTGTTTAACTTTAAACTTAAAAAATACCGTTCTTTCTTCAGTCCAAAACAGCCCTTTTTGATAATGTTTATGATGTCATAACCATGAACACATTCACCATTCAGCCTTCAGCAGTTTAGCTCCACTCATTCATGCTGATATGATAAGAAGTGTTGTTACTGCACATAGTTCAGCTCAGGGACAGTTTTCAGAGTGGAATATGTAGGGGGGGATGAAATGAAATGTTGTGTCATAAAATGTTATTGCAGCTGTCCAAAGGGTCTAAATATGAGTGGCTGAAGTCAGGTTTGGTTGGTGTCCCTGAGGATTTTAGTCCAAACCTAAAGCTGCAATATGTGAGATGTTAAAATAGAAAGAAGTAGGTCAGGAGAAAAAAAACATGTTAAAATATGGTGTGTTTGCGTTGCTGTGAGTCACCCTGAAAAGCCTGAAATAGTAGTTTAAAAGTTAGAGGCGTTGGGTCGGATTTTGGGGGACTTTTTTGGATCTCTTTAAATATAAATGGCACACGGACAGGCTCATAAAGAAGATCAGTCTTGAGGCTTAGGCCTCAAGTGCAATATCAGCATTATACTGATAAAGATATGATGACACCACTAAATAATTCCCGTACATTCTCACAGGACACGTCCTTCGCCAAGTTCTCTTTGAATACTCCTGAAACTCTCTTGCAATCATCAGTTTCATCCGCTCGAGGAAGGAGTCCAAAGCACAACCAGCATCTTCCACTCGTTGCATGTAATTACACAAATTCACCAGAGAGGTCTCCAAATCCCCAAAACTTACACAGGGTAGCTCTAACAGTTTGTTCTGTTTATTTCAACATGGTCTGCTTTTTTTCAAATGGTGAACGAGGTGTAGTGCAGAGCAGCCAGTCAGAACTGATTTATTTACATATATCATATATCAGCCAAAGTAACAAAAATTGGAGTTTGGAAAATTACTAAGTTACTAAGTAAATTAATAAGATTGTAATTTGTTTAGCATATGAAAAAAGACAAATGTAGTATGTGGACCTCAGGGAGAAAAATAGAATGCAAGAAAAAATGTGGATGTTCATCACATTTGGCAAATTTTTAGCTTGCCGTGACGTATGCGTGTTTGTGCTTTGTGCCAGGAGCTGGTGGTGAAGACGCTGATCGTGGCTGAGCCTCATGTTCTGCACGCCTACCGCATGTGCCGCCCAGGACAGCCACCAGGGAGCGACAGTGTCTGCTTCGAGGTCCTGGGCTTTGACATCATCCTGGACCGCAAGCTCAAGCCCTGGCTACTTGAGGTACTGCCGTGTCCATGCTACACTCCTAATCCTTATCCTACTTTGTTGATCTTAGATTTGAAGAGAATTACTCTTTTTTTTCTATTTTTTATGTAGTTGCTTATTTATAAAAGAAAGTCACTTTGTCATTTGTGGTTACTCTTCCACATTTTTGTCTCAAGGATTGTTTGTACTGAGGTTGGAAGAAACTACAATAACAGTAATTTCACAGCCAGCGACAGATTGAATAGAGAGAATGGAGAATAGTCTTTGACATCTGGCTCAGCCTTAAAACGTACAAACATGCATAATTCTTGTTTGGCTTTGCCAATCAGTACTCTTGTGTTTTGTGAGGGTTTTTTTTGTTTTTTGTTTTTTGTGCTTATTTCTGTGGGCTATAGATATTGAAGCAATAAAAGTGTAGCATATGTACAAATGAGTGATACAGCAAACATACTGAAAAAAAGGCATTTTCATGATAGAAACCATGAAAGGTTAGTGTTACTGAGGTTTGCGAACTTGGATCAGATAATGTGTGCCTGCAAAACCCCACATTTCAACAAAGCCATGAACAAACTATGATGATTGCAGAAATAAACTATCTAAAAAGGAACAAGAGGAAAAATCAAACGACTGGTGAAAAAATAAATGAATAAACTGAGATGATGTCATAATAGACTGATGTCCAATCAGCTTCTTGTTACTATGCAGTTTATGCAGTTACTATACACTAGTTGACGTTGTTTACAGCCTTTCTAGAAATGGACTAAATCTTTTTTGTGAAACATGCAGTCATTCAGTGTTCCAGAAATCCTGACGATATCCAGAAAGGCAGATTGTGATGTAATTTATCACAGTAACGATAACATATTGTCACTTTGCCCACCCTTAAGGATATATTTTGGACTAGTGGACGCTGGTGATCAGAAAGGCTGTCTGGTGCCTCTCATGTTCAAAAACAGGGTCTTTTGTATGACAGTGGCGATAAACGTGTAAATACCACATGCTTCTCAAGTTTGACTGATCACGTAAACATGAAGCTGATTTTGCTTACGCTACATTCCACAGCAAGGTCTCTCTTTCCCTCTCTCTCACTCTCCCTCACTCTCTCGCTCTCTGTCTCTCAGACTCAGGCAAATGTAGGTCAGGACTGCAGGTTCAGCAATGGCTGGGGCCCACGATTGCTGGAACTCTCTCTTTTAGGTGTAGGGGGGCGGGGAGGGGGGGGAGGGGGGAATTATGGAGTGCTTGTTCCAGAAAGTTCCATGTCAGGTTTTCCATCTCTCCCACACTGATGTCAGCCAGTTAAAGCATGACCTAAATCCTTTAACCCAAAGTACTGGGCTTTTTTTTCCTCCAACTTCCACCCCCCCTCCCTTTCCCTACCAATTGACTCTGGGATGTGAAATGCCTTTGGGATAATTATTTGTTTTTGCCATTGCGTAAACCTTCCGAGTAAATCTTTCTCTTTCTAGCAGCTTGAAAGTTAAAATGGACAGGGATTTTTTTTCTCCTCTGCTTTCTTGGTTTGCTGGAGTGATAGTTGTCACAGCTGTACCTGAGTTTGAATGCAGCGGCCGCTGAATGACAGTGGTGTTTCTCCGCAGCTCTCCGATTGTCTCCATGCAGGTTTTTCGGAGCCTCGACGAATTGAGGGAAGAATGCAAACAGTGGTAGATGCAGTCGTTACACTTCAGCGATAATGATCCCTCGGTGCTACTAGCAGCCCACCACAAACTCCCATCAATTAACATCCCCGCAAGTTCCGCACAGAGGGGGAAAAAAAGCTGTTTCTCTTTCACGCTACATTTACGGCAACGAACATTTATTTCCGATTTTGAGTGATTAGTCAAGAGACATTTCCAAACTCAGTCTCAGTAGAGGCAACATGGACTCACTGTAACTTTGAGTATTGAGGCAGACGTGTGTAGGTGCAGAATGGGCTATTTCATAAAATTTAAAGCACTGTTTTTCATAAAATTTAAAGCACTGTTTTACACATTGCAAATTTCAGATGTTTGCTTTTATTCTTTTTTTGTTGTGTTGTGTATATTCTAATTTTTTTTTTTTTATTTGTATATCTGTATATATATATATATATATATATATATATATATATATATATATGTGTGTGTATGTGTATATATATATATGTGTGTGTGTGTGTGTGTGTGTGTGTATATGTATATATGTATATAAATAAATATATATATATATATATATATATATATATGCACACACGTATATTTACATATGTGTATATACATACATGTATACTTACATGTGTGTGTGTGTATATATATATATATATATATCCTTTACAGAGATTTTTATATTTTTTACTCACTCACACAAATATGTACACACACACACACCCACCCACATATACATATAAAATTAAAATATATTATCAGAAAAACAGATAGGAAACATATGTATTCTGTAATAAAATGAGTAATCTTAACCTTAAGCTTAAAATAAACTATATAATAATAATAATAATATTAGGTTGTTATTATTATTATTATTATTATTATTATTGCTTACACTTTGTAGGGGAAAATATTATTAAAATGTATACAGAAAGTTTCATGAAACAGAACATCGGAATTTGGTCAGTAATCACTGCCAGGCAATAGAAATTCAAATTTAATTATTCCAAGACACAAAAACACAAAAACATTTCATGAATTACAAATCTAACTGTACTGCTTTTTTATTTTCCAAGCAATTTTAAAATTCGTTTTTTGCCAAAAACACAACAGCACAAATGGCTTACATCAGAGAGTCTTGGGTTGCCTTATTTGTGTCAGCACAGATTAGGCCGCTTCTCTGATGCCAGCCCCAGCCCTCAGCCTCTAATGGTGTTAGCAAGGCCTTTTCCCGCCTGTCTTCAGACAGCAGGGCCAACCCCCCCTCCCCTCTTCCCTTCCAGTGCCTGCAAACCTAACAAGGGAATGAAACTTTGTCTCAAATCAATTTCATGCACATATGTACACTCCATGTGAAAGGTGGATGATATATTGTGTAAATGTAGAATAAGATTGTTTTCCCTCTTGTGGCACGTTTCCTAGAAAGTTTATTGCACCTTACATTTGGTTATTACGTTGAAAAGTTTTTTTTTTGGTCAGAATAAGCAGCTTTATTTCTCTATGGCAAACACCATTGGTTTGGGACACACATGCATGCACAGGCACACGAGGAAAAAAAAAAGAAAAGAAAACACCCCCGCATAGCGGTATAGCTTATTCTGCCTCTCAATTAACTCCACAAAAACACCACATGAACTGAGGCCAAGAAGAAGGCGGAAAAAAATCTAAACCAGGCTAAAGAGTGCTATTTAAATCATGCTATAATATTTACAGCGGTGCTTCCTAGCGCGCACCTGCTGAAACCATTCCTAGCGCTTCTTTCTTTCTTTCTTCGTCAGATGCGTGAGGAGAACACGGTAGGAGGCGGAACAGCTCCAGCATACGGCTCGAGCTCGTCAGACAGACAGCATTGTAGCAAGACGGAGAGAGAAAGGTGGCTTTTGTTGCAATCCTTATCTTAATTCCCCGGGTTTTCAACACCGCTTTTTACCTCCCTTTGACATTCAAAACATTTGGGCCATTTACACAAGCTGGTTGAGGGGGGCGATGCCCAAAACGTAACTCGAGAAACCTTCACTCTCGCACATCACCCACGATCTGCACTAGATGCGGCTAGCGCCGTTTGTTTGGCGCTTTTGTGACCGCACAGTGTTAGCATTGCTAATTGTGCGCCTACTGATTTGACTGAGGCTACTGTTGCTAGGAAGGATAGCCCCCTCCAGAGGTCAGGAGGAATCCAGAGGGACACAAACACCCATTAGTCAAATGCTGTGGTGCAACACCGATATCATTGCCCCCCGGGCCCTCTCTCTCTCTCTCTCTCTCTCTCTCTCTCTCTCTCTTTTTTCCTCCCCCCTTTTTTATTCAAGTCTTTCCAGAAGCTGGTCACACTGGAGCTGTTAAGCTGGCATGACGAATAATGCAAAGGCAAGAGGACAGGGAGATATTCAGGGCGGCACACACAGAGATAGAGAGACGGGAGAGAGAGATAGGCCAAGAGAGCGAGAGAGAGAGAGAGAAAGGGAGAAACCTGAGTAAAATATACGTCCAGGCCCGCCTTGCTGAACAAACGTCCGTGAGGGTGGACTCTGGCTGGGAGGGTGTTTATTATGGTTATGAATTTCGCGTGGTGACTTTCGCTAGCCTAGCTGTATAGGGGCGGCAGACCGCTTGCCGCGTTCGGGCTCATTAAAGCCCCGCTTACTTCTTGTTTGTGGATTCTACTTGCACCCACACACACACGTGGAGGTGCAGACTCACATACAAATACAGCTGCTTGACTGAGAGAGAAAAAAAAGAAAAGAAGTAGAGCTTGAAATACTTGTCAAAACCTGGCTATTCACAGCATGTTTGGTCAGGTTCAGATAAATATTTGTCATGTTCAGGTTGGGTTCATATTTCATGTTCGATGTTTCTCATTAGCTGTGTTTTCATCGACTTTCTGTGCAAATTGCAAGCGATAAAATGAAAATGCGTAAACTCATTATTGCACTTTTTGTGGCCCAACTGCTTCTTTCCATCAGCTTTTAATGATGTCCTTTATGTAATGACTTCATTTCCTGAAAAAATGTGATTTATCCATAAAAACTTGTATTTGACATGTTTCGGTATCTAATTTCAATGTTGAAGCCTTCTTTTACTTCCCCATTACCTACTGATAAGTATATTTTCTTTATATTTATTTTCTTTATATTTTATTTCATTGTTTATTTCACTATTGTTATTTTTCTATCAGAGCTATTACAGGAGAGATCACGTTGTTCTGCCATATGGAGTATTCCAACTAACTTTGGTAATCAAGTATCCATAAGGGTTAATGGATGGATAATTGGTTAGAAAAAGCAAAAACGAGCCCCCGGAAATAATCAACTTGGATGAAATTAATGTTGGGTTGTGGACGTACCATTTTAGTTGAAAGCATTGATGTTG